AGAAATAATTTAAAAAGTGACAAAAAAGTTATTTTTATAATGACGAGTTTTGCGGCTGCCAGGTTTTTTTTCTTCGGAAACGGGTCCAAGTGGCTCTTTTTGTCTTAAAGGTTGCAGACCCCTGAACTAGGCTTTCTGCCACCCAGGTCAAAGACCCAGTTTGGCACCCCACCCCCCAGATGCATGTTTGCATACACATGCATGCATGCATGCATGCATACATACATACATAGAAACACATACACACACCCCTCAACACATTTGTTTGTAAAGGGCATAAAAAGTAGGCAATATATTATTTGAATACAAAGGAATCCTAATAAGTATTATGACTGTATGAAGAAAGGGGAAATGAGCATCCCTTCCAGTAAAAGCAAATTGTTTGTCAAAAGTAGAACTTCCATGTGCAGCAAGTGTCTATCTGAGATCAGGTTTTGAATTGGATTTATCACAGGATCATTAAAAGACTGCATTACTATAAGATCAGCCAAGACCCACTGGTTTCCTTTTAAAAGGTCCCCCCCCCCTTTTGAGGCTTTTTACCACTCACCCCTCTTCTTGGTTCCGGGCAAACCCTTTCAATCAGTAAATTTACTCCCTTGTAAGCTTCAACAATATTTCTTTCGATTTTATTTTTGTTTGAGTAATCATTTTAGGAAATGATAATTTTGTAGTCATTTTAGGTTCCATGTAAGGTGAAGAAATGCTTTTTGCGAGTCTAAAGTAGCAAGTGCCCTTCCATTACAATCCTAATGCAGCTGGGCTGACCAGAGCTTGCCAGGAAACTGCCTCTGGTGGGAAAAATGCTTGCACACTCCTTACTTTCCTGTGTGTAGATCATGTATAGTCTGTAAAATGACTCAACCTTAGCTATTTAAATACATTCAAAGTTCTGAAGGGATCACAGAATTGCAGAGTTGGAAGGGATCCCAAGGATCATCTAGTTCAACTGATTCTCTTTTTTTTTGCATGCTTTTTCCCATTAATTTTCAATGCCCACTTGACCCTAACGCATGCATTTTTGCAAATAGTGTTCAGTTGGTGAATCTCTTGCAAAATTCAGATGAGTGTGCATTTCAAATGATGCCTGAGTTTTTGGTTCTCGTATTCCATAAAGTGCAAATTTGATAGATTTAAATGCAAACTGAACCAAAATTCTCCCCACACCTATCCATGGCCACCTTGCATGTGTGATTCATGACTGCATTGAGGGATAAAGCAGTCTGTGGATGATGCAGTTCCCCCTTCCCCAAGTTATTCTAAACTGTGGGGAAACTCTTGCTGTCCTCTCCCTTCTCTGCAGTTCCTCTTTCTGGGACTGGCTGCTTGCTCTCCAGCTCCATCTACTGCTTCCTTATATGGATTGTTTAATGCCAGAGAGCTGGGATTTCTAATACAGTGGAGCATCAGGAAATAAGAGGAAGTTTAGAACGGGAGTTGCTGCAACAAAGCAGCTGCATGCCTAGATGTTCTAGGATCAAATTTATTAAATTAATTCTGGGGCCTTTGGCAAGCAACTGTGCTGGGCTATGGGTCACACAGCCACACCATACATTCAAAGCACTCTAAAATGTATCTCCCTCCTCCCTGGAGGCAACCCCCCCATCACTTGCCCAGGGCAGTTTGTTCTGCTCTGTCCAGAAATTCATCATCGTCTCTGATGAGTTGAAGTATGGACAGACCAGCTTCAAATTGCTCTACCTTCTGTTCCAGCAGGGCAACTAGCTTTAATTTGCTGCAGGTGTAGCTTCATATGCCCTCAGACAGGAAAACAAACATGGCATGGGCATTGCAGGTCACTGTGGCAGCTCCCTTGCCCTCCGTGTCTCTTGCTGCTTGTTCTGTCTTTTCCACCAATCCCTTGCAAATGCCCCGGTTCACTTGCCCTGTTCATCAACTCCTGGTTGCAAGCTGCCAGGCACTGAGAGCAGCTGTGTATTATGCTGAGACAGTGGAGGGGAATTAAGGTAACATGAGGGCATAAGAAGAGCCTTCTGAATCAGGCTATTGGCCCTTACGGTCTTCAAACAAAAACATCTTGGAGGTCCTGGGCCACAGGGAGGTTAGGCTGGCCTCAACCAGAGCCAGGGCTTTTTCAGCTGTGGCCCCGATCTGGTGGAACACTCTGTCACAAGAGACTAGGGCCCTGCGGGACTTGACATCTTTCCACAGGGCCTGCAAGACAGAGCTGTTCCACCAGGCCTTTGGTCAAGGCACAGTCTGACCCGCTCCTTTGGTAATCCTCACAGAACTCTAGCCCAATGGTTGCCATTAATTTGATTTTGAATTGATTTTAAAATGAATTGATTTGTGTTACTTGTGTTGTTGTTAGCCGTTCTGAGCCCGGCTTCGGCTGGGTAGGGCGGGTTATAAATAAAATATTATTATTATTATTATTAGTCTGGCCTCCTGTTCTCACAGTGGCTGTGGGAAACCCACATGCAGGACCCAAGCACAAGGACCCCTCCTGTGGTTTCCAGCAACTGGTATTCAGAAGCATTGTTGTCTATGACCATAGAGGAAGTGCATGGTCTACATGGCTGGTAGCCTTTGATAGCCTCCACATCCTCCTAGAATCTGTTCAATCCTCTTTTAAAACCATCAGGTTGGTGCCATCACTGCCTCTTTTGGGAGGCCCTATGTTTCTGGGCTCATTCCAGTGCTGGATTTACGTATAAGCTAAACAAGCTATAGCTTAGGGCCCCACTCCCTTGGGGGCCCCCAAAAAATTGAAGGAAAAAAACCTGGATGTACATTTCCAAAATAGAAGATAAAAAAACAAATCAAATAAAACCTAAATACAGGAACAGTGGTTTGTGTTGGGTAGGCTCCTATGATGCAAGTAATGGTCCCCGCCTGCTAGCCTGCTCCCTAAAATATCACTGGTTTGCTCATTTCTATATATAGGGTGCCTACATTCTGCATGGACTGGGTGCATGGCAACATGTGCAAATGGCTTTAGATACCTATTAGGTCCGTAAATTACCATATAGCATACAGTGGTACCTCGGGTTACAGACCTTCAGGTTACAGACTCCGCTAACCCAGAAATAGTACCTCGGGTTAAGAACTTTGCTTCAGGATGAGAACAGAAATTGCGCGGCGGCGGTGCGGCAGCACCGGGAGGCCCCATTAGCTAAAGTGGTGCTTCAGGTTAAGAACAGTTTCAGGTTAAGAACAGACCTCCAGAATGAACCCGAGGTACCACTATATATTCAACACAAAAAACAGTGACAATTTTTTGTTGACAAAGGACAGCAGGGCATATAAAGGGCCCCATTACCTTCAGTAGCTTAGGGTCTCATCAAACCTAAATCCGGCCCTGGCTCATTCGGAATAAGACCAACAGATTTGGGAGAACCCATTCATCTTTTGAGTCAGCTAATCTGTTTACCAGTCCTTCTTCTTTCCCTCTCACAAGTTAATATTCTTTAGACAGCTTCTGTGATCCACTCTGACATACCAAGAGAAGCCAGACTCAATTATCCTGCCTAATATCTACAAGGGGCTCATTTCAAAATCCCAGCCCCCTCCCACCCCAGCATGGCCCCAATGCCCCCACTGCAATGTTTTGGCTGTTGTCCCCTTGGCTATGCCACCAGGGTTTGGATCTATATAAATGAATCCAATTTAGCTGATTCATCTCCTGTGTTTAATTTCCATGCTAACATAACAAGATTATATAATTGCACCGAGAGGGTCTAGGCACAGGGATTGGAATTTCTAACAGGCAGCGGTAGTTAAAAAATAAATCCATACATAACGTACATTACCAACATGAAAGAGGGGGGTGGGAACTTTTAAAGCTCTTGTTGCAGTCCTAGATGCTTGGGGATCTTTCACTAGATTTTAAAATACAGTCAAGACTGCTGGTTCAGAAATCGGAAAGTCCTTCATGCAGCACGTAGTTAACTATGGAACTCACTGCCACAGGAGGTAGTGATGGGCACTGACTTGGATGACTTTAAAAAAGGATCACACAAATTCACAGAGGAGGATAAAGCTATTGATAGCTACTAGCCATGATGGCTCTGCTCTGCCTCCACAAAAAGAGGCAGGAATGGTTCTGAATACCAGTTGCTGGAAACCACAGGAGGGGAGAGGGCTCTTGTGTTCGAATCCTGATTCTGGGTTTTCCACAGGCATCTGGATGGCAACTGTGAGAACAATATGAAGGACTAGATGGGCCACTGGACTGATCCAGCAGGTTCTTAAGTTCCTTATGTAAACCTGTGTTTGACGCATTGCTTGACTCAGCCACTGAACTCAGAGATAACCCTATGTGAATGGCTGCCATGGGCACAGTTCCACCTCAGCCCTGCAGGACACTGGAATGGTGGTGTCTGGGTATGATGTGAGCAGGATGCATCTCTTGCTGACTAGATCACTGAACTGAAAAAGGCACAGCTGCAGGCAGTCTGCCCATGAGGGGCCAGGGCATTAGCAACGGCAGGAAGAAATTAGCCTCAGTTTGCATTTTAATGTCAACCTACCCAATCCAGACTTCCTGAAACACCACACAGATCATAATACAACCATCACTGAAATTCACACATCTTCAAAAGACAATCCATCCAAACAACATGTTCAAAAATGCATACATTAAGGAGAAGTATGCACATGCTGGTGAAAATAAGATGCAATGATGCATTAGATTCAGACAATTATCTCACAGAAATGTGTGCATGTGTTATGCACAATTGAGAGACATTTGTACCAAAATACTAACAACTTTTCATGTGGACATACCTCTTGTTGTTATAATAAGGAGCTGGGCTTTCTCTTTCTGCATGTGAAACCACTTGGATAAACCTTAAACAAGTATTTTGTCATCTTCCAATTTGGATCTTTTGGTAGGCGGAGGGGCTTTGATGCTGATTTTATGATTGAGAAACATAGGAAGCTGCCTTATGCTAAATCAGAACTTAGACCTACCCAGCTCAGTATTGCCTGCACTGACCGGAAGCAGCTTTCAGGCAGGGGTGTCTCCCAGGTCTTCCTGGAGATGCTGGGGATTGAACCTGGGACCTTCTGCATGCAAAGCAAATATTCTACCACCAAGCTATGGCCCTTCGTTTAAAATGTATGACCACAGGAAGCTGCCTTATACCAGAACTCAAGACTTCTGTCTAGGGGAGGTTTTCCTCCCCTCTTTGTGTTTGCAAGAGGAACAATGTGGGGCTCCTCCTGGGAGAAAACACTGGCAGGGAAGAGGTGGCAGTTAAACTTTGTTGAGTAGGAGAGAGAAAAGGTGTTGTTATGGTAACTAATTGCTTGTATTCTCCAAAGGAAGCCCAGGCTCTCTCTTTTAATAAGGGGAGAAGCATCGGGAAGGTAAAGGGATAATAATGCTTCATTTCTTAAAAAAAAAAGAAAAAGAAGAAGAAGAAGGAAGGGAGGGAGGGAGGAAATAAAAAAAGAGAACAAGACTTGAATTGCTCCTTCTCATTTTGCTGGAGTGTTAATAACGGTTGGAAGGAGGGACGTGGCATTTAGAACCAGACCTTGCGGTGCGGTGCGTGGGTGCTGGCCCTGCTGATGGGGCTGCACACAGCAGACTCCAGGAAGGAAATCGTGGGTGGCTTTCAACCCTCCCTTTGCCTGTCGCAAGACGCCATGTGTCGCTATGCAGCCTCCACCTAGGATCAACTCTGCTTTCGTTCCGCAGCTTCATGAGAAGCCTGCTAACCTGGATTCCGCTGCTCCAGTCGGCACAGTTTTCCTGCTCTGCGAGAAGGGGAAAGTCCCACTTGCAGGTGTGGTTTGAATCCAAATTGCACCTGCAAACAGACCAAGTGAGGCCCGCAGTTGGTACTAATCGACAGAGTAGTTGCTGCCTCCACAACTAGTGGCAGAACATAGCCATCATGACTAGTAGCCATTGATAGGCTTGCTGTTCTGCCCCTACAGCATGGGAACCTTTCCACCAATCCCACCCCTATAATGAAGCCTGTGCAAAGGACATGGGAATCTGGAGAGTTTTGGGGAGGATGCAGCACGGCTGTCTGTCAGGAGCAAGTAAACAACAGAGTTATATATCAAGATGACTGATGGAGTTAAGAGAGGGGGAGACTTCCCTCACTTCAGATAAGATTTTTTCGCAGCCAAAAAGACTTTCAAGTGATATGTGAAGGGGAAAGAAAGTGGTGGCAGATGAAGCAAGAAATGCTCACATCCCATCATAACAGTCTGGAAAATAAAACACCTTCCTTCCTTCCTTCCTTCCTTCCTTCCTTCCTTCCTTCCTTCCTTCCTTCCTTCCTTCCTTTCTCTCTCTCTCTCTCTCTCTCCCCTTGTTGTTGTTGTTTAGTTGTTTAGTCGTGTCCGACTCTTCGTGACCCCATGGACCAGAGCACGCCAGTCACTCCTGTCTTCCACTGCCTTCCGCAGTTTGGTCAAACTCATGCTGGTAGCCTCGAGAACACTGTCCAACCATCTCGTCCTCTGTCGTCCCCTTCTCCTTGTGCCCTCCATCTTCCCCAACATCAGGGTCTTTTCCAGGGAGTCTTCTCTTCTCATGAGGTTGCCAAAGTATTGGAGCCTCAGCTTCAGGATCTGTCCTTCCAGTGAGCACTCAGGGCTGAATTCCTTCAGAATGGATCAGTTTGATCTTCTTGAAGTTCATTAGACTCTCAAGAGTCTCCTCCAGCACCATAATTCAAAAGCATCAATTCTTCAGCGATCAGCCTTCTTTATGGTCCAGCTCTCACTTCCATACATCACTACTGGGAAAACCATAGCTTTAACTATATGGACCTTTGTTGGCAAGGTGATGTCTCTGCTTTTTAAGATGCTGTCTAGGTTTGTCTCTCTCTCTCCTTGCCTTACTGCAAAGGGAACACCTGTTCCATCAATATCATTCCATCCTTAGTTTGGAAAAGCAGGATTAGGCCAACGGGTTCTCAGAAAGATGCAATGGCCTGTTTGGGAGAGCCTGGGCTTCTGTTTGAAGGAGTCCTCTTCTGGAAGGAATCTAAACCTGGTTTCAAGACAGAGAACTCTAAGTTGGGGAGCTGTCAGGGCTTCAGAGTTGCTTATCTGCAGTCAGCACCTGGATAGCAGACTGAACAGGCACACAGCTCACCTGGTCACAGTTTGTCCCGCTGTAGAGTGACTGTGGACTCATCCAGGCTTCCTTGCTAGGCACAGGTCTGGGTCCAAACCTTTAAAAGATTGTTGTTTTTGCTCCTGGTTCTTTCCCTGGAAAAACCTGCCGAAACAGAACAAACAGCAATCCACAGAAAGCCCAATTCCTATTTGCTCTGATTTAGTGGCAAAACATGGGTTTTCCTTGGGAAAGTGCCAGGACCAAACAATAACAGCAGCACTCGGACATGGAGTTTTAAAGGCCTAGGAATGCAGCACAGAAGGAAGTTTGGATGAGCCTCCCCAACTTCAAATTAGAATGGTTATTTCTAAATTTGCACCCACACTTTCTTGTAACTCATTTGCTAAAAGCTGCCTGCTTAGTCGTGGCTCTGAGCTGGAAGGATGCTTCTAAGTACGGTATTACTAACTGTTTGCAAAAGACTTATTTATAGCCTCATCAGATAAATTGACCCACCAACTCCAGGTTCTCAGAAGGGAAGCAGACCCATTGCACTCTGCGGCTAACTGGTGGTTTTTGTAGCTTATTTAACAACACAGTCACATGGACAACAAATTCTATACAATTCTATCTGGCATCATTTTTGCTTATATGAGTTTTCTTTCCACTATGTCTTGTCTTGGAATATTGCTGTATCGAAATAAATAAATAAAATTAAAAAATAGTCCAGTAGCACCTTAGAGACCAACTGTTTTTCCCCCTGGGTATAAGCTTTTGTGTGCATGCTGACTTCTTCAGATACACTGAAACAGAAGTCCCCAGACCCTTATATATAGTGGGAGGGTGGGGTGGGGTTTTCCTCAGAAGGGTAGTAGGAGATGGGTGATTGACTCAATGGGTATGGTAAACCTGTTGATGACTGTTAACGACTGCAATTAGTCCTACAGGAAAAAGCAAGGGATAGTATGCAGATGACCAAAAAATAGCTTTAGCATATGTAATGAGACAAGAATCCAATCTCTCTATTCAGACCAGGTCTCTCCATAGTTTTCAGTTTAGTAATAAGTTGTAATTCCGCAACTTCTCTTTCAAGTCTATTTCTGAAGTTCTTTTGTAATAAGACAGCTGCTTTGAGATCCTGTATAGAATGTCCTGGGAGATTGAAGTGTTCTCCTACTGGCTTCTCTGTCTTGTGATTCCTGATGTCAGATTTGTGTCCATTTATTCTTTGACGTAGGGTTTGGCCTGTTTGTCCAATATTGCTGTATCACTTCTTTTGTACAAGTTTCATTTCCCTTTTTTATATCTTTCATCTCCTTACCATGCTTAATTTTCTTCTTTCTTTCTTTCTTTCTTTCTTTCTTTCTTTCTTTCTTTCTAATACTTTGTTAGGCTTGTTATACATTTATTTATTTGTTTGCTTTCTAAAAGTGTAATCTTTATCCATTGTTTCTTTTCAGCTTCTGCAAATGGCCCGCTTACAGAAGGAAGTAAAAATTAAATAGATTTGAGGATGGGCAAATATTCTCCAGATTCAATTTTGTGAGTGGAAGCTACTCCATAGTTGAGGGTGGGTGTGGGTGGGGACTGTTAGGATATTTCCGTTCCACCTTAAAAAGGGGACAGGCTGTTGTGAGTCACAGCCTACGTATTTCCTGTTCACAGGAAGTTTCTGTTTGTCTATTGCTTTCGTTTCTCTCTGTGTGCCTGAGACACCGAAGCAGGCAGTCATGTTTTTTCTTTCTTCTGACCAACGCTGAATAAAGTTATAAATAATGCTCTCCTGAGTGCATCTTTCGCTGTGCGAACTCTGCTGCTAAGAGCGTGCACCAGCTCTGGAATGTGGCAAGCTATTTCTGGAAGCTCGTGTCGCTAATTGAATGATACTGCGTGTCTACGGGAGATCGATGGATCGTCCGGAATCGACGTGGGGTCATGATGGCCTTTGTCTCCCTGGCAGTATCCCAACAGGGACCATATATGGAAGAGGGCGAGGGAACGCTCCTCCACAAATCCTTTTGATAGGAAGCTCCTTTGCATGAGCAACCTGAATTCAACCATGCAGTGCAAAGGGACCCTTTTTCATTTGCATCAAAAAGTCAGTGCTTTGTGAATTGGGTGCCTTTTTCTGTTGCCAGGCAGATAAAGCACGACTTTTCAATTCAGAGGAAGAATCAGGAGTCTGCTTAGCACGTGCTCTAAATTCTTAGCTGAAACTTGCTTGTACTTGAGATAACATAGGACCAGAGCTATTTTTTTCTAGAAAAAGAGGTGCCGGAACTCACCATGAACGCCTCCCTTGTTCACTTATAATGGTAATAGCACCCACCTGAGAGATGCTGGAACTGAGTTCTGGCAAGTTTAGGTTGAAAAAATGCGCTGCATAGGAAACCAGGTGCAGAAAAGGTCAGCATGGTTTTGATCTGTATTGTATCTTCTTAGCCTTCCTGTGCACAGCCTAGGGAACCAGAGTGTTAGGCAGCATATAAATGGTTGACTCTATGACCAATGCAACTTCAGTGATTTCCAAAGAGTTGGCCGAAAGCAGTTTGCGTACGTTTGAGAAATAATCAGTAAGTCTTGATCAGTCCTAGGGCACATTCACACCATGCATTTAAAGTACTATGCATCCACTTCAAACAACCTCAAAGAATCCTGGGAGTTGTAGTTAAGGGTGCTGAGATGTGTTAGGAGACCCTCTAACCTCCTCACAAATATGGTTTTAGTTAATTGGGGATGGTGGAAAAACACAGATAACAGAGCTCAGTCCTCATGAACCCGTTCAAATATTTCACACTGCACCCTACCTGGCTTTTAAAGTGTGTGCATGATCGTCCCCAGGCCATTAACTGAATTAATCTACAGCAAGGGTGGGGAACCTGCAGCCCTTGAGAGGTTAGTCGGCAACAGCACCCATCATCCTTCACCATTGGCCCTGGCTGATGGGAGTTGGAGTCTAGCAATAACTGGAGGGCTACAGGTCCCTAAGAGGTTCTCCATTAGAGCACTGTGGACACACCAGC